ATACTTTCTACAATATTATTAAGATTTTAAAATGAACAGAATTAAATGATTGTTAAAATGTTGTAAATTAAAACCAATTAAACCACCAATTAAAATCTTAACGTTATAACTTATAACTATTTAAAATATTTCGTAGTTGGTTAAAAACAAAATTATTTTATATCGCAAATAAATGATATAGACTAAATTAAAACAATTAACTCCAGTTTAACTTAACATTTTTAAAATATTATTTAATTATTTTAAATAAAAAGAATAAATATCATTATTGGCCTTGATTTAAATAAATATTTATTAATTACTTATTAGAAGCGTATTATTAATAAGCTGGTTACGTTTCAATCCCGTGTTTCAATAAAAAAAACTGAATAAATAAAACCATTATTTTTTAAGAAAACTATTTGCATATTGGTTTTGAATTGAATAAATATCAATTCTTTTTAGACTTACCGAAACAATTTCTGATAAATACCGTATTAATAAGTACAATTTTCTTAAATCACAACAATTACTTTTAATATCATAAGAGGTTAGATTAATAAATACATTCAATCGTTAATTGAAACTATTAAAAAAAAAAACTGTGACATATGATAATGAATTATAATAATACATACTCGTATCATATTATTATTAACTAGTCCTTAAGTGTTTTGTTTATACTACAATTTTCTAGTAAGTAGGTATACACGATAAGCGAAAGTTCGGTTTAAAAAATTATAATGAATAGGTAATTCATTATCACCTTTCCAGACAAAAACAAGTTATTGATACATTATTATTTATTAAGTTATTTGAAAAAAAATAATATATTATCAATCATTATTTGTATTTAATTATATGAATATCTCGATGAATACATTTGAAAAAAATCAATAATTCCAAAGCGAAATTAAAAATGTTTGAAATTAAATAATTTGAAAATATTAAAAACTGAAGAATATAATAATGTTTTTTCTATGAACTATATTATATTATGTATACTTAGGTAATACGTTATCAAAATGCTTTTAATTACTTACTATAATATTAAACAATAATTCAATTTACATTTCAAATTTCTATAAATAAATTATACAACGATAGGATTTAATAGTTCTTTGATCTTTTTTACTAGTATAATACTAGTGTCTAAATAATTCTAATTTTTGGTACTTATCTATGATATTTTCTAACATTTTCATGAAATTATGTAGGTATTAGGTTAGTTGTTACACTAGTTGGTACATTATACAATATTTTATTACCTTGGCAAATTATATCTAATCTTAACCGTTCTATATCAAGATACAAGAATTTAATAAATTATCTATATTAATAATACAATATTAAAGCCATTAAAGGGTATTTAAAAATATTTTATTTTGACCTGCCCAAAGTAGGTCACTACTTTATTTCCATTAAAAAAAAAAACAAATTGTTTTTCATAGTACAGTTTTATCAATACTTAAAGTACCTTTAGTATTTATAGAGTTGTAATTCAATTAAACAATAATATATTATTAACTAGTTTTATATTATAAAAATACAGTATATTAATTTTATAATATACAGTAATAAGATTTCTTTAAATTGTTGTTACTCCAGTGACATGAAAAATTAAATGAAAGACATCCCTCTTGTACAAAGCAATTAAATAGTGCTAAGTAATAATTAGTAAGCCGAAAATCAATTATAAAAATATTAAAATGCAATTCGTGAATCGTTGATTTTAAGTTAAAAAATTAGTTATAAGTGTTACAACACTATCCTAAATTTCTGCTCCCAACCGCGTAAATTGTACTAAAGAGTACTTTGCTCTTAAACACAAGAATCTACATTCCGCACATTAACGTAATACGTGTAATTCTAGCCATCTAGGATAATTGAAATTATTTGGAACCATACTCATAATATTTAAGTAATAGACGGTATCAGAAACAGACACTATTACACGATAACATAGTAATTGCACCAGCTATAATAATTAATGAACGAATGCCCGCGCCACCGTTCTATAAAATGAATCCAGTGTCCACTGCATAAAATATTACATAATATACTCAATATTCAGCGTTTTCGTTTTCTGCAAAAAGAATAACGTATTCGGGATCCGAATTTTCGCAGGTAATTTTTACATTGGTTTAAAGCTGGACTAAAAAAAAGTCTAACGGCCCAAATTTTCATACACCGGTCAATGGTCATTTACCTATACATTCATTGTGACACGACATTATTTCTGGATTATTAATATTACAAGTCACCAAGACTTTTTACGTTATTTCGCTCATTCATCTAACACAAACATCTTCAAGACATTTTTTTTTTTTTTACTGCAGATATACTATACAACAATATAGACTAAATTTCTTCACTATTTTACTAATATTATTTCAAAATTTATAAAATATAAAACTTTAAGTTAGAAAGAACTGTACTCGAAATTAATTACAATATTTTTACATCGATTTTTAATAAGATAAACAGTAAAATATATTTGCACAAATACTTTTGAATTATGGAAAATTTCTTTTTCTCTATAGTGTAATTGGCATTACACCAATAATAGAAATTAATTTATCAGCAGTAAGAAAAATTAAAATTTAATCGAACTGTTTATTGCTCTACAACGTATTTACATAATGATATTTAAATTAACGATTTAACTTTAGGCAGTTACTATAATAACTTAAATAGGTTTCACGTGTTTACAATCTATAGAAAATAGACGTACTATGTAATTTACGCTTTTGTTAAAACACTTTAAAACTGATACTTACAAATTACAATGTGAGCAAATAATATGGTAAATACTATCATACATAAACATATGACTAAATGTATATATTTCAGTAATTAATTTTGTATACCTAATATATTATAACATAAATAAAATATATAAATAATAATTCAATTATTTGTTTATTATTATTATTAATTACAAGTAAACAACTTGAAAAAAAAGAATTTATTAAATTGTTACAATATTATAAGCAAACTCGTTTTCTTATTTTTATTTATTTATTTATTTATTTTTTTGACAGCAACTAGCTTTTATATTAGTATCTTTAAATCAAAATAATTAGTTTAATACCTATATATTTAATTCAACGAACTTGTTATACTTAATGAATTTCAAAATATCCTAGTGATTAAACATAAAATTAATTAAATAACATCTTAATAGAACAACTGAGCGTCAACGAATAATTTTTAAAAAATGCAAACAAGTATAGTAGGACAAGAAATATATCTTATATCAATCAATAAGCTCACATTGGACTTTCGTTGTTTTTTTTTCAATAGTTGTACTACAATCGGGAAATCGTTATATTTATCAACCACTAATGATTATTTTGATGACTTTTGGCTGATAGGTATAAAACTGCTTAAAATATACGAAAACATTATTTTTGTTAGGTGGGCAATATTGACTTAACTATACAACACTTTTCTAAAAAATCTTAATATATACTCCTATAACTGCTTATCTAACAAATACCTCAAAGATGAACAAATTGGAAAAAACGCAAAAAACCGCAAGTGTAAATGTTTGTTTGAAGAGGACATTACAAAAAGAGTTTACCTGTGTAACGAATTTTTCGTAGACACCGCATATCGAAAACGCATGACAAAAGTAACCGACGATTTACACTCATTCGTCATATATTTCTCGGCCAACGAAAAAAAAGTAGTGTTAAACTTAAGTTATTAGTAGTGGGACAGTTAAATGCTAAAATCACGCAGAAAATAAGCGCTGTGAATATGATGCTATCATTCAACCTATCTGACAATCGAACAGTATAATATAATATATAATATTATATTGTAATATTATTATTTAATGGGTATCGGCGTGATAAATAAATAAACGTGTTTCGACAGGTAACCGATTGAAAACGGGAGTAGGGGTAAAACGTCATTAGTTAAACTTTTGGTCTGTTGTTGCGAAAAAAAATCGTCACGCATAACATAAACAAATTAACTAGTTTTATAACACAACAACTGCATCCATCATTCTATTAAATACAAATAATCTAGACGGCGGAAAAAAACCAATGTTTTATACAAGTATCATTATTAAATAATAATATAATAAGAAAACAACATATTTTAATGATTCGGATGTTAATATTATTATTTTCAGCTTAACAGACCAATGTCATCATCTAAAGATTGTAAAATTTTCAATAATACGCGTCATAATTAGTGGTAGGTATTGTGTAATATTCATGTCGATAATCCTACATAATCTGAAGTGCGCGGGGTCGACGGCGCCGCCGCTTAATATTTATTATATGCGACGTTTATTGTTCCAGAGGGTGGGAGCGGCGGCGGCGTAGGCAAACGGTTCGGGGGGTTGGTGAGGAGGGGTGCGGGGTGAGTGAAAAACCGTGTGGTGTACGTGCAGTTCGTCACGTACGCCACTCGGCGGCGAACGGTAGGCGCGCGAGGCGGAGGGAGGAAGTAGATGTGACCGAAGCACCGAAGAAGAAGAAGAAGAAGAAGCGAAGTGAAAAAGAATCCGGCAGCCGTCGCAGTCGGGAAATAGGGAAAGGTCATGAGCGCCGACAGTGTGGCGTACGTGACGACCGGCGTTCGGTCTATGGCCGATCACGTGCAAAAAAAAAAATAATTCTGTAGGCAAAAATAATTTACGCATACATTATCTACACGCGTGTACGTCTACTGGTGCGAATGTAGTACGCACATGTATATTGTAAATTGTAATCGTTATGCTTATTAACGATTTCATGATCAGAGGATATTACATCCGAGCAACGTATCCGTTATAATATCAATAACGTATATTACGCAATATTCCGCATGCGACCGAGCCGAGCCGTCAATACTCGACGTTGTCATTGATTATAAAATATACTATAAATACTTTAAAATAGCACGAGTATTGTTCATTATCAAAGACAGCCGATTTAATAAGATGTATGCATAATAATTATAATGTGTCGTTGTTTTTTATAATCGTAATAACTAATAATATTATTGTATCATTGACTTACCCCATGCTCGAACCGTGTCAGTGGCCAAAACGACCAATACAAATGCAAATGTACACTTTAGGAAATTCATCGCGTGTACGCTTAGGCAGCTGGTGTGTACGACAAATTATACAATACTTCGTTATACGATAATGTATTGTCGACGAAGCGTTTTTCACAGTTGAGTTATAAAAATATTATTAATTATATTACGTTTAATTAGTATGTCGGTGGTAAAAAATTAATTATTATTCATTACAATCAATAAAATAGCAATAATAATAATAGTGCGTACGAAATATAAAAATATGGACTATAAATAACCGTGGAGGACGCGGTGTCGCGTTAAATGTGACAGGGGAGAGCTTGGAAAAAATTACGGAACATTTGAAATTGCCGCGTGCGTTCGACACGCGCTCCTCCGGGATGCGGCGGACGACGGCGGCGATATACTGAGCGAGTGGCGGCTGAACGCAGTGGCCACGGACTGATCGGTCGAGCTATTAATATGTTCTCCGTCGGCGAGCGAATGGTGTGCGCGCGCGCGCGTGTACAGTGAGATTCGTCGACTGGTCTGAGCGTGTGTGCGTGCGACCGGGCGAGACGGTTAGACGGTGCCGACTGTGCCGAGTGACCGAACCGCGCGACGCAATTCTGTTCAGGCGGCGCCACGACGACTTGACGTGCGCGCGCCGAACGAGTTTCTTTTCAACCGTCGGCTGCCGATTGTTTTCCGAATTATATTTTATCGATATCGGTGTAATTAAACGTTAAAGCGTGTTTCTACTCCCCGGGGGTTCAAATACTGTGTTCTCCGAATGACAAATGTGTACCCAAAGTGCTATCATATTATAAAATATAATATTAATGTGCAGCACAAAAGAGGGGGGATTTTGGAAGTTACAAGCCACAGGTTTTTTTCGCGATAGAAATCCGTCAAAGTTCAAAGGTAACAGTTAAATTAATGACTGTGTCCCCTGAAATCAGATGCATTTTAAGCTCTGGACGCTCTGGTGTACTCTACCGTGTGTCCGTAACGCCCAACCCAACCTTCGTCACAACTTTACCGACCGACCCATCCACCAGAGCTTTTTCAAAAATCCTACGACAAATCCACGACCCCGATACCCCGCTTATCATGCGATATCCACCCACATCGCAACGTCGTCGCCGTCAGCACGGGCCCCCTCCATCAGATGGTCAACCTGTTCGCGGGTTTTTTTTTAACGACGGTCAACGACACGCGTATTGCCGCCGGTACTGGAGCACGTGCGCTATTCGCGAACGTTTCATTTTCATACAAAATATGTGCAGTATAGAATAATATGTGTTATGTGCCCGCACATTCAAATTTTTGGGATAGTTGAATAATTATTAAAACTATTATTACTACTATCGCTTAGATTACGATGCCGAGTCACTAAATTATGTTAATATTCGATCAAAAATGCAACGATAACATTACAATTTTTTGTATTCGGTAATGGTAAATCCCGATTATGGTTGGTATTTAATTTTATCATTATACGTGTTTAATATTATCTCTTACTAATTTGTTGGGTAAATTTGCATTTTTTTTTTTTTTTTAAATATTACCTACCTTTTTTTACTGTCTTGTTTTTAAAAGATAGCCACTAATTTATAATATTGATAGACCTCGACTGTATTTTTCTGCTATAAATCAGTGTTCTATTTAATTTTGTTCGATACTCGGTAAATTGTTAAGCTCACAACAACTTCACACTTACATAAAAAATATTTTCATTTATTTCAATTTTTTAATAGGCGGTGGGTGAACGATTTACTTTTTAGTCACAACTTTTTTTTATAAAATCATAGCGAATTACTAAAACGTTACCTAAAATGAAATGTGCTTGATGTTTGCACTAAATCATTAATATTATAGTTTGTTTATCCTGGTGTGGGATAATTTTACACCAACTTGGACTTTAAGCTACTAATTTCGTATTCTAATTTCGTTAGATTACTTACAAACTGTTATAAGTTAGTGTTATAAATTATTGTGTTTCGTTTATTATATATTTACTTACAATTTTATTTATGATAGTATGTACTATGTAGTCATAAAGCTATGGTAGTCGTTGTGGATGAAACTGCTTTATTAGCCATCATGTCACAATTATCGTTTCCTGGAATGCTTATTAGTTATTTGGTATAGAAACCAAATAAAAATGATCTTTTTATAAAAAAAAGTGGTCTTGGATGAGCTGAACTAGTTTGTTTTCAAGGTACTGGTCTTAAGAGAACTCTACACCCGCATGTGTTATCTCTGTCTTACATACATACAACATAGCAAATTTTCGTTCAGCAGAATCCATTTTATGTTGTTAGCTTTAATATTAGAGTAAATTTACCTATTACCAAACTTAAAGGTAAGAATTTTATCTAGGCTATCGCATAGGCTTTTATTGATATTATAATTTTAAACTGAGTTATAGTAATGTAAAGTATTACAATTTAAAAATGCTCATTACTCACTTTAAAATTATATATATATAAAATTATGGGTGCGGCGTCCTTTTAAAATGAAATGTTGACACTAAACATGTCGCTCATTATTGAAATAGGTTTATTTTTTGCAAATGTGTGTGTGTAGTACTGTAATTGTAAAATTGGAGGTCTTCATTCATGAAAACGAAGTATCTTTATTGTACTTTTTTATTTATTTATAACTAAGAATTGTGTTAATTTTAGGTTATTGTGTTCCAGGATCAAACGTGGAATGAGGTAAATCATTGAATAGAGCTATTTCTTAGCCGGTTTTCTCTTAAATTTTCGTTAATTATACTTTTACATTGAGAATAAAAAAAATTATTAAAAGTCGGTAAAATGTTAAAATTTCAAGGCATACACACAGTGGCGTACCTAAAATTTTATTTGAGAAAAAAACATAATATGGTTTATATGCTGCATACAAATTTAATAAGACAATATCGATTGAAATGTAATATTTTTTATCTAAACGAAAGAATATGAAAGATATTAGTTTTAGTTCGAAATACATAACTCTTATTTAGTGCAACTGTATAAGAGACAAGATCAATCGAATTATAAAGATTGGAAAATGTCAGGAAATATTACTTCAAATAATATATTATATAACTATATAATATAAAATTGTTTTGTTATTTTAAAGTTTATTAAATGGAAAATAGGAAACCCCTTGTAGGATCTAGACATATAATTCATGTAAAAGCGTATCGTACGATAAAACTTAGTCGTAATCTGCATTATTATATAAAGATATTAAAAAAGGTATGTGTAATACCACACAATAAGTCACGGATCTTTGAAGATTCTTATAAATAAATATACTTTAATTCATTAATAATTTTATTATCGTAATTGCATTATGTTTAATTTATACTTACTAACTCATTTTTTTAATTTAGTTTCAGTCTTAGACCTTAGAGGCTTACACTTATGAAAAAATACTTTGATAAGAAGTGGTAGAAGTCCTACCCACGTGGCATTCGATTTGGCCAATTTGGCAGTTGAGCGCTTTCTTATCATGTGAAATCAGCCATTTGCCTGTTTAGTTTTAAGCAGATAAGATATCTGTTATCATTACTTAGCATTTAAATTTTTAAAGATAAATTATGTATGTTTTTATTTACCTTTTTTTGTTTTGAATATAAAGAATAAAAATATAAAAAAGTTTACATTATTTTTTTAAATTTTATTAGTAAATAATTTTAATATTGAAATCATAATTGTTTTTAATTTTTACCACATGAAAAATGTCAAGTACTCTTTCAATAATTTTATAAAAATACCTCACAGTGGCTAATTCCATCTTATTTATCAGTATTTTGAGATTAATTTGAAAATACTGCTCGATTAATTGAAATTTCTTGGCAAAATTGACTATCAAAGGTATCAGTACTTTAGTTTTTTGAGCATATGAAAACTTGTGGTTTAGTCAAATAATTATCAAATATTTAAATCATAAAGATTAAACTTTAAATTGTAAGGAGATATTTATTAAGAAGTCATCTTGTGTTGTCTTATTCAATAAAATATTTATAACATAACATTTATGGGTTTACCAATACCAGTTTTGCGTTGTTAGCATTAATACATATTAGTGCTTGCTGTGTTTGCCCAACATTTACTTACACTTAATAAAATCAGAATTTTATCAACAAATATAATTTTGCCAATATTTTTATAGATTATATAATAATATAATATCCATATTTATATTGATGTAAAAATTAATTAAACTAATGAGTTCATTATGAAAAATATTTTTTATGGCTGTTTCTACTTTACTAAATATTAACTTTTTTTATTGTTTTCGCTGTTTCTTGATAATTTTCTTATAAAAACGAATATTTAAAGAATAGCTGGTATATAAATATAAAAAAGTACTAATTACTCAATATTTGCAAAATTATAATTTAATCACACAATTAAGATTAACTATAATTTACCTACAAAATAATATATTTAAATTGCTCTTTATCTGAAACTAGAAATATTAACTTTTAAATTAGCACTAGTCATTATTAAAATATATTTAAATTTAATTTATTTGACAATTTAACATTTAAAAAAAAATAATTGCACTTGAGTCTCATGATTTATTTAAACAATCATTTTAGTAAATAAAAATAGTATCATAAATGAAAGTAAAAACAGAAATGGCAAATTATATCCAGTAAAGCTCATAAAAATAGCTAATAAATATATGTATGTATAAAATAAAATTTAAATAAAAATATAACTATTTAAGTGTAGTATAAAAATATATATATATTACATAGATGACCAATAAGATTCATATATTTTAATTTCTAAATTCAATAAAAATTAACTTAATGTTAATTTATTATTATTAAAACTTATGAATATTTTTCATGATATTTGTATTCATTTTATCCATATAGTATTCAAGAATATTATTTTTAGTACGATTCTAAATTAATAATTTAAACACTAAAGTATATTTCTTTATGCATTACTAACATTAGATAACACACATTTATTTCATCATTAGTATTTAATACTACTAAATAATTAAAATATTTTTAAACGCACAATACTGATGTTTAAACATTAATTTTTATAGATTTCTCATGTATTTTTATATATATTTAACTTTAATTCATCTAATTTATTGATATGGTATACAGAGTTGATAGTTCAAATATGCCTCTTATTATTTCATCAATAATTATTAAAAATTTTCTTAGAATAAGCCAATGTGCCATAATTGTCTAAATATATTTAATTTACTTATGATGTCATCATATCCATTGATGTTATAAGTATATATAGATGTATTGATAGCTAAATAAAAACATAGTTATCATAATTTTTTTACTTTACTAACATATAAGATACAACCACCAAATAGATTAAATGTAATCTATTCTGTGATATAACTAACGAGTATAACAAATTTAATTAAATATCATCTTGACTTCTTGACTATTTGTTTTTAATCAGCTATCCACATGTTTTTCAAAAATGTTTTGTGTTAAACTTTAAAATATAGAAGTCTTGATATTATTCTTGACTGCTGTTTGTTTAAGATGCATTTATCATTTATTTGTATTATTCAATAATTCTGTTTTATTAATTATAGCCAATATATTTTGACCTATTAAATTTGTATAATTAAAGGAATTTGTATTTAATTTAACATTCAATTTTTTAAACGTGATTATTGAAACTAAATTACTACTTTATAATTTATACTAATTAGTATATATACATATTATACATCATTTTGATTGATTTTAACAAATTAAATTAACAAAAATATTTTTAATAGTTTAGTCTTAAATATTATTCTATATTTTAATGTATCAATTAGAATTATTTTTTAATAAACACTTATTTTAGGTGTCAAAATGATTTTATTTAAGAATATAGAAGAATTAAATGAATTACTTACTAGAAACAAAGACATGAGTATGTTGTTGAATGAAAAAGATAGAAATACTTTAGACAATTTAATCGATGAATTATCTAAAGATATTAATTCAAATTTACTAAAGACTATTTTGGGACTTCAGGTACACATTGTTCTGTTTTAAACTATAATAAAATCTTTAATATAATTATTTTAGGAGAATAAATATTCCATTGAAATAATTTGGCAACTACATATGAAACAAATTGTTGACTTTACAGAATTTATCACATGGTCAGTAGAATTTTTACTAAATATTTTTATTTTATTTGTGTTATATCAACTTGTTTCAGTTATAAGTGGGATCGTGATCAAATTGTTAAAATTCTACTTTGTATGTCTGAATCAAAGGAAAAACTATGTCAAGAAATTTTGACAGACTTATTGGGTAGTCTATTAATTTTATTGTCTGGAGAACCTAATCATAAATTTGATCCACACGTACAAATTATTCAACAATTCTTAACTCAAGTACTGATTAAGTATACAATTTAAATCAATACAAGGCCATATCTAAACTTTCTTTTAAAAGAAAGAGGTCTAAACAGAATATTTTATACCATACTATTTAATATATTTTATACAATTTTTATTAATTTATATATGTATTTTAACATGTTTTTAATTGAATAAAAATGACTCTATATTTAAAAATTTTGAGGGAGAGCTAAGATTCCAGATACAGCCTTGTATCAATGTGTAATAATAGTATTAATTTACATTTATAGATTTATTTCTACATTTTTAACAGTCGAGCTTAATAATCATAAGAAATCCTGATGTATGGATCTATTTAAAAAATCTAAAATGTTCATCTTGTTTAATAAAATCAACAATTCAAAAAATATTTAAAATAATGTTAAAAAACATGCTTATAGCTGATGTTAATTTTCATTTAAATGTTGCATATGAACAATATAGATTGTATAAAACTCCAGATTCTATTTACAACATGCTTAAAATGGTAATTTTTTTTTTTACTATTTTTTATCTTCCATAAAAACTAATAACTTAAGTAATTTATTAATTGATGTTTATAATTTAAATTGTTTTAGTTTCTAGATGAATTAAATGATGATGATATTTATACATTGATTCAGAATGTCATAACACAGCATTCAGAAAAGGCCAATTGGAAGTTGATACTGTCTTTGATTTCTACTTTTGTAAAAACTAAATCTCATCTATGCCATGTATTAAAATGTATTTATTTCTCTGTTATATATTTAGATATATTTATAGTGCAAAATTTATGTTATTATTTATAAATATTTTACTTATTTAACAGTGAAATTAGAAGAATTTTTCAATCAAACATTGTCAGAATCGACTACAGAAAAAAGTTTCTTAATGCAAAAAGCTGCTTTATTAATGTTTCGTCATTGTTGTTTAGAAATTGGTCTTTGGTCAGAATACAACAGATGGTACAGTACATATAAACCAAATGTAGATACAGCTAAAGTATTCTACTCTTTACTCACTGAACTATTGCCTATTGATTTACCTGCTGCTTTGGCAGCCCATATTAATACTGTAATTACATAAATGATTCATAAGCTTGGTTATTTCGAGTATATATTAATGCGTTATTATTTTTCAGCAACCTAAACTAACAGAATCTTGTGGAAATATACAGTCAAATTATGTCAAAAAAGCCCAAGCTCAACTAACAAAAATAAACCATGGAGAAGATTACATGGGTCTATTTAAAAATTACGATGATTGTCAGGTAAAAAAAAAAATCAAAAATTATTTTTTTAATACTATACAAAGAATAATATATTTTTTTAAATTTTAATTCAGTTCTAATAATTATTTTGAAGCAATATGTTTTTAATTACCCAAATAATTATATTTTGTATCAATAACTTACTAAAAAGATTTAATTATTAAGACTAGGTTAAAGAAATTAAAAAAAAAAATTAATTTGTTTTAATTCAAGCAATATTTCTATAATTTTATGTTGAAAAAATATGTGGTTAATTATATTGCTTTAACCTTAACTTATTTAATTTATTATTAAATTAGGTAATACTTTATTAAAAATAATTTAGCAATCTTGTATTATCATAATTCTATTACAGAATTACATGATAAAATATATTTCAACAATTTATTACAAATATATAATTTTAGTAAAATGGTTATTATTATTATTTATTTTTTTAATAATTGTTAACATTGAATAATTATGAGTTCAAGTTCAATACCAGAACTATTTCTATTATTAAATTTAAGATTAAGTAGAATGTTATCTATATTTTTTCAATAATTTTTTTTTTTACCATAAAAAAATATTTTGAATGTTTAGCATTTTTTAAAACTATGTTAACATTTTTTGCATTGACCACATATCAATCATATTCATGTACAAAAATGTTCAATCTCTAATATCAAAATTAAAGTTTGATTATATGTTTAAATGATTTTTAAATTTTTAATGTGTATTATAGTTGAACGTAAAAACTAATTTTTCATTATTTTAATGTAATAAATAATAATATTGAATTTTATTACACTATATTTTAGAATCGACATGAATCAGACATTGTCAAGGTGCTCGAATCTTTCAAATCAACTGGTCAAGTAATGCGAGTCGTCTTAGAAGCATGTGTTTTTAGAAATAAATATTTTACTGGTACATTTCTTAAGACTTTGATGAATACCCAATTGGTAGATAATGAATTGCGAAACCGTTTTATTGAAAAATTAAATAGTATGAATAAAATTCCTAAAAATATGTACACCAAGTGGAAACAAGAACAACATAGCATCTATTTTTCATAAACCAAATATTTCTTGTATTTGCTCAATAAAAATTATAGTAATATTCTATTTCGTTTGTTTTTACTTATTCTTATTATTATATATGGGACTCTGAACTATAATTACTTTTCTTTGTAAGCTAGTGTAAATAAATTACTATGAACTGATAAAATGTCTAAAATGTTAATTAATTTTACCATCATTGGCATCATTGTATGATAAATCTTTTAATTTTTGTTGATACCCATCATGTTTAGGGAGTTTAATTTTTATGATGACAGTAATGTTTACAGATATATTTTAATTTTTTTTTTTTAAATAAGAATTACAATATTGATATTTTTCTGTAATATCATCTGTATCTAAATTTTTAGGTCTGATATTTTTTTTTCATAATGCTCGCTCTTCATCTGATTAAAAATAAAATTCTAATTTTACTTAAAGGTTATACAAATAAATTTACTAAATAATATGTCTTAAAAAATCTGTAACTACTCTATTTAACAGGATTTACACATTTATACAATCACTGAGATAACCTCTATTCATAACAAAATATTGTTTTTGTTCCTTTTGTACTATCCCAATCCACTTATCATAGACTTATATACATAAAAACTAAGTTAGTTTATTATTATTATTATTAGTTTGTCATTATTCAGCTAAATACTTCTAAATTAATGGTGTTTAAATGTTTTTTTTATTAATAAAACTTTTAAATCAACGAATAAGATTATAATTTTAAAATTAAAAATGAATATTACTCCTTACTAGTGATGGCAGAAACTATTATGTCTTTTACCGCATTTTTTTTTCATGCCAATCTTAGGACAAAATAAAAAAATAATAAAATATTTATGTGTACAAATATTAATTTACATTTAATTACCACTTTATTAGGTACCTACTACTTACATACCTAATCACCCTGTAACCATCCAACTAAGTCTTGATTCCTGTTCTGTCATTATTTTTTACCATAAATTATTGTTATCGGGTGTTTTCTTTAATTTAAATAACTCTAGTCAGGTTCAATTACCTTTACATATATTATTTATAGTAAGGTTATTTATATAGATTACATATTTTCAAATAAATGTTAAAAAAAAAAAAAAGAGAGATAGGTACTCACCTCGGATAATAAACAAAGTGCGTCATGAGTAATGTTCTATTCATACCAACAACTATAAAATTAATTAAATTCTTTATAAAGTTTTATGCTTTATACTTACTTTCTAGACAAAATATAGAATAAGCTACGTTTCATTATACAAAAAAACATACCTATCATATAATATTTTACTGGTTACTTTAGATTAAAAATATCTAAAAGAAATTTTTTTTTAAAGATGGGCAAGTAGTTATCACACTCATGTACAGTAGGTGTTGAGTAGGATTATTGTGATGGATGTGATAAATTTGAATTCAATAATACATTTTTGTATATAAATTACGATTCTAAACGGAAATGTTTTCCATTAACCTATATCACCAAGAGTATTCTTGTTATATTTTTATTATTACTTTTAAAGTGAATAATTTTATTATTATTATTAAAAAAAAAAAAAACAGTAAGCTGAATTAATTTTTGCCGAAAACTTTGCACTTTAAAATGTCATTGTGTATAAAATATAAGAACATACTTAAAAGTTTTATACACCCAACCCCACGAATGTTTTTGAATTATAACAAAATAATGAATATCGTTATTTCTAATCGAAATATGTAATTTCGTCATCTGATCAAAAGCTAAAATTATATATCTTATTCATCTTATTTAATAGATTAAATATTAAACAGTATTTCTTGTTGCCTTAATTTTAATTTTTAAACCTTTAGTATCTACATAAGTATAATATGTATAGTACCTATAATTAAATCATAACATACTATTTAATATGAATAATTTGTAATACTTATTTTGTTTTTCTCAAACAAAATTGATACTTAATTTAAGAATAGAGTTTACGATCAGACTGTGCAAGCTGCGGCCTGTAGCACAGTAACCGTGTGACCAGTCGAAAAATATAAATTATTGAACATTTATTGTTGAGTATCGTCATACATTTTTGATGTTGATCAATTACTATTTATTATTTAATACTTATCAAAAATTATAAACTACGATGAAATATAAATGTTATTATATGATATGAATTCGTTATCTAACCACCTAGATACAAAATGTAATCGACTAGAACAAATTGTTTACCTCGTTATCATCCACTATCCAGATTCAACGGTGGACATAAAATCATATTGTCGTCTGGCACTGAGACTCTAAAGTATTGCCCATCGCCGAATAGGTTCTATAAAAGCGCTTTGCACATCAAAACCCTGATATTCACTAAGCCAACCTCGGTTATAATTTAGACGAATGTTCAAATGTTCAATGTAGTGCACCTAGGTACTTGATTGATTATAAAAACGACTCCCGAGTTAGGTTGTTTTTAAACGTAGCCTTAAATAATATAATATTTTAAAGTTTTCATAAAATATCCTAAGCACATAGATTTTAATATGTCTATTGACTATTGTAGTTACGTTCACAATTATTATTATTCTCAAAGTTGATCACTCGTACTCGGTTAAATAAACAATAACCAAACCTTTTTACTGTTTTCTTATATTGTTGGGATAAAACAACACTGTTTTTTTTTTTTATTATTAAATAATTTATAACGTTAATATAAACCATAATCTTCGAATAATAATCAATGGAATAATCCCAGGAATGTTCGGAATAATGACTGTAAAATATGTAAAGACGATTTCTGATGGATGTTATAACTCTCAAGTCTCTAATAATTACGCCGAACATGACGCAATTCAATGTGCACGTATGTTGTGTAATCTACATCGTAACAATTCGGGAACAGATTACGCGACGTCATGACGAGAATATCATAGGAATAATTTAACGGACCTATAATGGTAGATTTTTTTGTCGTTCTAAACATTTATTAAATTTCATTAAATTACGTTTGCATACATATATATACGAGTAAACATAAACAATGCTGATTGAAAAAATGTGAATTTTAGGAAAGGTTGCGATATTTGGTAGGCAACGTTTACGAGTTCACTCGATCGTCGAATCGTGTGACCCCGCGAAGACATTAAAACTGAAATTATTTTCGTGGCACGCCGACCAGTGCTGCGCCGTACTATTTAATAAAACATAATATAAAAATAAAAAACAATTTTTGATGAATAATACACACGATCGTTGATTATTGCAACACGTAAACATTGTGGATCGATCGTTGTTTGAAAATTGTAAAAAAATGAAACAACACAATCACCAACGCATTGCCTATAAACCACAAAGACGACGATGATGATATTATATGCCTATAATACATACAAAATAACGACTTGACGTTACTGTAATACTGTTTATAGAAACCCAAATGAAACTGGCGAGTCGTGTTCGACGTTCGGTACACGTATTCGCTCGTGCACTAGTCGAGTTGCTCATTATAGAACAAAAACCATTAGTCAAGTCACCAAAGCCGTTCATATTGACCATGTAAAGTTAGTATAGAGTCGTCCTTCGTCCTTTGAGTAGAGCTTTTGATCAGGGCCTAGCGCTTTTTGACATACACTATTATTATGCATAAATGCATAATATATGCTATTTATAAAAACTAATTTACAACTGTGCATTCTTTAAACAGTTATCGAGGTAGGTATCTAATTTATGATAACTCAACATTTACAAAATTACAACCATTAAATTATTTGGTGTTCAAATGTTATTTTGATTACCCTACGGTCAATAATTGTTGATAAAAGAGGTCCGTTGTCATGTATCCCCGTGTGTAATCTCCATTTAATTAACGCATAACATCATGGTCAATTTTAGGTTCAAAATAATCTATTTTATTTTGTTAATTTTCTATACACTAAAATTAATTGATCTAATGACCTATTATCAAATTCAAAGGTAAAATTATTATTAAAAGCCTACGTACAATTTTTATGGTTCCGTGATGGCGGGAAACCCTTTTCCCCCTTAAAAAACCTCATTCACGGTTTTCTACTAATGATAATAGGCAGCTGATTGTTTTTGGACCTTGTTATACGTATAAATAAATAATATTATACACCAACTGGAAAATCGCTAGAGGATGAAGACGTAGACATTTCAAATCGTTTACATGCGTACAGACACAATGTATAATACTGAACCTATACCGGATATAACCGTAGGTTGGTATAATATAAGTGTACATACAACGCGTCTCTATCCGTGCGATTATCATTTTCTCCATGGGTGGGAATGCGAAAATAAAATAAAAATTCTTTATTTAATTCTCTCTTTTTCTCACTCTCTCTCTCTCTCCTCTCCCTCTCTCACTCACTCTCTCTCTCTTTCTCTTTGTGTCATGTTTATTATATTATCTTTATACCTGTGCGTCAATACGGAATTCCGCAAACCGGGTCAGTGGTCATCGTTCAAGATGCAATTCCTCGAGTTCGTCGTGATCTTATATAATGCAATAACACACTATAGACCATAGTCATAGATATATTAATACCATAACAATAATATATTGTAGACAGCCGTCTTGCGGAAACACCTCGGTATGGGTAACGGATATGGTAATATTATGGTTACTTCGTTGTTGACTGAGAGCCCTACGTGAACAGAAAATGTGAATCAAGGGTTGGACAATATATTATATTGGTTGGTTCATAAGGTATAATATAATTGCATATGTTATGTAGGTATCGAGGGAGGGTGAAAAAACAACTACCACGGACAAAAGAAAAACCGTAATAATACGAATAACTTGCATCATAAACACATTATATATTATATTTTATTCATAATTTTGCTCATAACACATTATTAAGTAAGTATCTACAATTGTTTTGACAGAGCCCTATGGTGCAATGGGTGGAGGACTCCACCACCCTTTTCGTGTGTGACTATTGCGTATATTAAGTATTTACACGTACGACGTGCGAGAAGAATCAAACCGCTGCAAAATAACGAACTTTATTGTTATTATATTGAATAAAATGCGAATGTGTTTGACGAGGAATTTTTTATAATTTTT